TTTTTTTTAATCTGGCTCCACCGTACCACCTGGTTATTTTTCTTTTTCATAAACCCTGAAGAACATTTTAAACAAACTTGAATTCAGTTCTTGGATGAATAAAAGAAGCAGGTTGTGACATATCATTGCCCAGAATTCTACAAAAAAAAATGATCTGGTTCAAGACTTAAATGGATGATTTGTAGATAAAATGAATGAATACCTCATATATGACCTCATATATGATTATTGTTGGAATTGATATCGTTGCCTTGTGTCACAAAAACTCCAAACACTTGACGTTAACATCCTCACAAAATTCAGCTCTCCTCAACACATGGGAACAGGTGGAAACAGGTAGAACGGAGTGTAATATTTGCACAAAGTAATGCACTTCTGTCTTTTTCATGTGACTGTGTGTCATCAGAGAGAATACCTGCTGTTACAGTCAGCACTGAAGGGACATGTGGGGGAAGCTGAGCACAGATTTGGCCTGACACACACTGCTAGGCAATATCCCAGCTCAAATTCAGACAATGTGCTGGCTTCCCCCCGCATCCACAGACACTTGCTCTCTGGTTGACAGGCCGATGTCAGGCCAGAAATATATGGTAATCATATTCTGCCAGGTCTAAGGAGAGGAAATCAATTATCACAAGTGTTTTTTAGCAACATGAATCTAAATCAGAAATCAAAACACCTCAAAAATGTTGGTTTCTGCCACACGTGGTTTATATTCATCTCCCGCACTCGTCTGTCTTAGTGGAGCAGAGCTGAGAGGCTGTCAACGTCTGTCTCTTTCTGAGGCCAAATCATTAACAGGCTGCCAGTGTGTTGCACACTTTGTACTACACAATTACCATGTTTAGTTGTGGAACTAATGCTGCTGACCTCTGCTTTCTAATGGGAAGGGAGACCTTCAAGGGGAACTCAAGAATGAAATTGCATGTGTCTCAGCGGTGTGGACCCAGCAAGTGCTTCTACCTTAGAGCTGTGAGAATGCACTGCATTTGCATTATGTTTATATCTGCTGTTAGCAAAAGGTAAAACATACGAACATGGTTTCCTGACAGGTTTTTTTTGGCTAGTTGTTTGTTTTTATCCCTTCATGGAACTCTACTAAACATGCAATGGATTTCATCAGTGCTAATATCAGTGCCTTCCAAAACCTCTGCGCTTGCTCATGTAATTTTTCTAATCAGGGCATCAAATATATCATGACCTTAAAGTTTTATGTTCTCATGAGATTCCAGAACAGCTAACATTAGCTAAAAGAAAGCTAAAAACACCATACAGTGTTCTTAGTTTTTGGGAACATTAGCTAATTTGCTAAATAGGAACAGATTAAGCCATTTTACATTGAATCCTGTGGGGAAAACTGTTTCAGTTTTCGAACTTTTCGGTTCACGAATGGCCTCCAGGAACTAGTTAAGTTCGAAAACCAGGGTTCCACTGTATTCAGTTCTTTTCCATGTTTTTTTTAGCCACCCTGACTGTGTTGGGCTCGGATCACAGCATCAATGCAGTCTTTCTCATTAAAGAATTCTCTTAGCTCTGCATTTCACATTCAGATATCCCGTTACCTTCCATTTCTTTATATAGTTCATTCATTATTGCACATATATCAACACAATGCATCCTGTGTAAATAGATGTGGGTATAACAGTCCTCTGGGAAAGTGCTAGATTCTCAAATGCCTCTCTTTCTCGGGGGATATGAGCAATGAGGCCAACACTCCTTGATGAATTCCCTTTGGAGAATTGCTTGCTGTTTTTAGTGGTATTGTGGAGTACCAGACGCTGATTTTGACTTCATCGTCTTGAAATTCATAAAGCTTACGAAAAGCCCTTGTTTATTTTGAATCCTAGCTTGAAAAGTGTTAAATTCCATGCATTCTACTCATCCATCATTGTCATGTGATGGATGAGCAATCGACAGTGTCAGTCTAAGCATTGGGGAAATACTGTAGCAGAGTACACACCAGTCCATAGCAGGGACAGTCTCAGAGGTAAAAGAAGATACCATTACAATGGCAATTACAACATTTTTTTTTTTTTCAAAGCTTGAACCCTGCTATTACACTCTATCTCTCTTCTTTTTCGGGCCTTGAATCTTGATTTTTTTTGTCACCTACAATGTCAATGGATTGTTGTATAAATCACTGAAAGGATGTTTCTGGTTGTGCCGTTGCCATTAGGCCATCATCACCAAATGATTTGCCCATTTTTGAGAAAATACAATGAAAGTATTTATTTCATCTCACAAACGAAATTAGAGGAGAGGAACTACGGTGGCCTTCATGTTTAAAATATATACTGTTTTTCTATAGTAAACTGCTACTATCAAACTAAAGTATTGATATGATTGGGTCTTTAAAAAGCCCACTTTTGCCAAGTGTGGCCTTTACTTGATAAAAAGGTACATTTTCCAGAGTGAAGTAAAAAAGAAAAAAAAACATCAACCCCCCTACAGTAAATCGCTGAAGAGATTTTTTTTCTTCCTAGTGTCATGATCGACTCAGCAGCCATAACACACATCCATGCTGTGACAACACCCCTGTTGCACGTGCAAGGCAAATGCATGTTCCAGGGCAAAGGATGTTTTTCACAGCAGTGGTGCTAATCATGGCACAACAACAGCTCTTCAGCAAGTTATCAATACCACTTTGCAGATAATGAAGTAGAGAGAAGAAGTCTGTACAGTGTGGAGTAAAAGTGGAAGTTTCCCTCAGTTCTACTAAATGTCAGAATGCTGCTGGTGCTGGTAAAGAGCTGCTTTTTAACTCAGTTGTATTTGTCCAAGAGAATTCCTTAGCAGTTTGTTATTCAAAGTATTGTATTTCTCGGACTATAAGTCACACCTTTTTTCATCCTCTGGCTGGGTTTGCGGCTTATATTCAGGTGCGACTTATATAATAAAATATATAACTTCATGTGTGTTTTTTCACACTGACATACACGAAAGAGCACTCTAGGCTTGTGTACCAGTATCTGCTTCTCCTGTACCACTGACACTTCACTTCACATGTTGTTCACACTGACAGCTAGAGGGCACTGGTGCGACTTGTACTCCGGAGCGTCCGGAAAATTATGGTAAATGATAACAAGGAGACCAATAACCAATAACATCTTGGTTATCTCTCTTGGATTTACTTTACTGCTTTAATATTACTTGGATATTAAAGTAGATATCCAAGTAAATATACAATCAAGTGCAATTTAGCCATAGCTGATGTCCTTTGTCCCTAAATACATTTAATTTGTAAAAATCCAACTGTAAAATGTACAGTTGGATTAACTTCATGTCATACTTTATGGCACATACTTAATTATTACTTTACTTCATTATTACTATCTTATATTTTATTTTATGTCTATTTCATATTTTGTTTTTACTGTACAGTGTCCTTGGATACCTTGAAAGGTGCTTCAAATAAGATTATTATTATTTAGTTTCATTTGAAATAGGGATCCAGCTCAATAGTATTTTCTCTGTCATTTTGTCTCATTTTTGTACATAGAAACAATAATGTATGGCTAAGCCTTTCTAAACTTTTTTTCAGTTTTTTCTATGCTACCTTTTATTTCATTTCCTAACTTTAAACAGAAAATAACAATATTGTACAAATAAAAAAAAAATTTAATATTCAGTACTTTCCTTAAAGTCTTTGAAAGAAAAACATTTTAAATAGTGAACAAAAACATGACATCATCTCTACCTTTACTGCATGTACGCTGAAACAAATGCAGTTGTCTTCCATATACTGGTATTTTCATACGTCAACAAGGAAATTGATTTCCTGGTACTATCGCAGTGACAGTGATGCTGCCTCCTTGGGGCTGCGTATTTTTACAGTCTGTCAAAAAGATGCGCCACTTTTGCATAACCCACAAAATGCATGTTTTTTTTTACAGAGGCCGTTCAGCCGGCTGTGAGAGCCATCTCATTAGATCCTGCTCTCTGTAGTATTCTTCAGCTCGTGTTGTGCCTCGTAGGCACACAGGTTTTTAAACACAGAGGGAGAGCAGGTGCAGCCATAGTCCAAAGTACTGCAGAGAAAACACAAACAACATGCCTTATCCTGTCTGGAAGTGTCCCATGTCCCCCTGGACCTCTGCTGTGCCATTATTCTGTCTTCGTTTCGAAACATACGGTGGCAAAAGCCAGAGCCCAGGTCCTAAATGGTCTTCATCAGCACAGTGCCTGTTCTTTTCCGCCAGCAGGGCAGTGTGATCAAACTGTGAAAAGAGTACTGGTGCTGGAGGAGTGTTTTGTTTAATTGCCAGCCTGCTAATAAGCAGTATGGGGTTTGATTAAGCTCTGCGGGAAACAAAAAGTGATTGTCATCTGGAGAAGCAATTAACATCACAACATAAAGTGGTTGTGTCAGTGTCAGCTGAGTAAAGGAAAGAAAAGACAAGTTTGGGTTGAAAATCTTTAAAACCTTCAAATAATTATCATATCATAATTTTATTTAGTTATTAGTTTAGCGATTCACCCATCAAGTTTTCTGTCCATATCAGTTTCCATAGCTACAAAATGTAGCTGAAAATTGAAGTCAAATGATAGTATTTACTACATTAGGCTGTGTCAGGGTAATTGTTCTGCCTCCAGCCTTCTTTCTCCCTCTATTTCATTAGTCATTATTTAGGTTGTTCCTCACAGTCGTAAACAAGACTAGCTAGAAGCAGACCCCAATGCAACCGCACACCATCAACCCACCTGTCATTCTAACCACACACCACCACATGATGTAGCTGCCATCATAAATCTCCTACACCACCATCATGTACTTTTGTGCCACTGCTTTGTGAGATGCTCTAATTTTCATGTTTCTTCGGGTAGATCGGGAGGTAACAAGTGTTTTTTAGTGTTTTCATGCAAACGATACTGAGTCTTTCATAGCGATGGCTCAATCCGATATTCAGGATCAGTACTGGTCCAATATACAAAATTTCAGGACCATTTTTAGTGACTGTTTGAAACATTAATTTTTGTGTTTTGTTCTTTTTAATCCACAGATCTGGTTTTCTCCTGGATCTTTAATGAATACCCGACTTTTGTGAGGCAGGATACTCGTCGCTTCATCTCCCAGGAGACAGGGAATCTGTACATTGCCAAAGTGGAGCCTTCAGATGTTGGCAATTACACCTGTGTGGTGACCAACACAGTCACTAAGACCAGAGTCCAGGGTCCACCCACTCCATTGGTGCTGCGCAGTGATGGTGAGCTCACACTAACACCCAGTGACAGCGTTAGGAGACCGTTAACCACGGCGAACAAGAATCTTTGTCAGTGCAGAAGTTTGATTAGGAACGAAATCGACTCCATGACACACTGGTAATCATCATACATATCATCAGGAGCTGTTTATCTATATGCAAATATTTCCTAATTGCACAAAACTGGTTTCAGTAAATGCACTGTTTATCCAGATGTGTTTCTATTTCTAAAGTGGCAGCAAAGTGTCAGAAAATTAAAAGTGTAAAATATGTATCACCCCTGCTCTGTGAAGAAAGGTAGCAATGGCACCTTATTTTTATTTTTAATGTGATCACATGTCTAGCAAATCCTTGAACTGAATATACATGTCACTTTTTTTACTATAATTATGGATGAGTGTCTGTAAGAATGGTAATTATAATTATTGTTAATTGTTTTACATGTTTTATTGGGACAGACTAATTTACAAAAATGTTGTCAATGGGAGAAGGAATTGTGAGTCTTTTCAACCCACATGGGGGCGCCAATAACTACATGGCTCCTCTGGGACTCAGACCCAGGACGTTTTGCATGTAAGGCACATATGTAAGGGCAGGCGTGTTAACTGTTACTCTGTGGAACCACCTTAAAGCTTTGTAACCACATGACTTCATGTTTGTGTTGCGTAACACATGCTGTGATAATTCTCTTACCTGAAAAACCTCCCCGAATTTTCTGTATGACCTTTTTTATTTCATTTCCGTTGGCATTATTATCATGTAGCTGTGTCACTGACTAGCAGTACCTCCATGCTAAACGTCAGCCAGATCCACGTGAAATCTGTAGATAAGGTTGGGTGTCAGCGTGTGTATGGGGGGAAGGGGGCATCACAGTTGGACGCATACTAAACATGTGTCCCCTACAGAGGCTAGGGCTCGGAGACAAAGACCTGTCCACTCCCGCCTGTCTGTTATAACGGCCGATAGTGCTGCTGTGTCAGTTGGATATGAGACAGTCGTGATAAGGATCTGAATGAGCTTTCACAGTCATTCAGGGAGCCATCCTGATAACACCGGCATCGCCAAATCAACAAGATGAAATTGGCCGGGTTCCTTCGTCTCCAGATCTATTTGTGCAACACAGCCACAAATCACAGCAAGCACTGGTGGCTGAAAGGGGCTTAAAAATACCATAATAATCCAAGCTGAAAACTGCCACAGATGGGAGAATAAAAGAAATGGCCAAAATAAAAAGAAGAAGAAAAAAACCCACTTCTTTTGACACACAATGGTGTTACTTATTGGGAGGAATTGGGTTCACATACTGAGGAGTTCATTCTAAGACGTCAGCACCAGAAATCCCTCATTCTCCTTTTCTATTCTAACCAGTGGATTTCAGCATGCAGAACAGCAGCAGCAGCAAATTGTAATCCAGCAGTGAATGGAATGCTTTTTAAGACAAAGTGGCAGCACCCAGGAGGATTGTACAGACCCATTTTCTGGTTTGCAGCTGTTAGTATGACAACAAGCTGAAACTCATCTGAATGTAGAATCTCAAACCCTCCATGCATTCACAACGTTTCCCCCTGTTTTCATTCAACATCAGTGTCGCCTGCCCACAGGAGACTTTGTATGGTTTTGCCCCTCACTGTCTTCAATGGGTACGGATTCAGGAGCAATGCATACACCTGAGTGAGATGAAGTGAGAAAAATAAACCTTTTAAGCATTTAGTTTAGGGGGAAAGGAGCAGTGTACTGTAGATTGTATAAAATGAACCATGTTTCCAGAAAGATTACGTTTTTAAAATGAAATAGATATCGGAAAGTAGGTTATAAATCTGAACCTCTCTTTATCACACAGGAGAAGAAAACAAGACTTCAGTTGTTTGAATGTTGGAAGAAAAAGTTTTAAACCTGAGACCGTGGGGTCACTTTAATTACACCATTAAATACACTTTCTAATTGTTGAATTAGTGCAGCTTTTGCAAGTGAAACCACTTAACCATAAAACCAACCTTGACAACTTCAACAAAGTGCAACCAGGCAGGGCAACTTGTCCACTTCCTGGAAGACCCTTGATTTTAACAGACGAAAATAACCCTCACATAGAGGAAGTCCAGAAGTTCCTAAACTCATTGGAAAAAAAGTGTTTTTTTTTGTCATTTGTCATTTCATATTAACAGAAATATCAGGAATACAACAATTCTGTGCAATGATTAACATGTTCTTTGGCTCTTCTCTTGTTTTCCAGGTGTCATGGGTGAATATGAGCCAAAGATCGAAGTTCAGTTTCCAGAAATCATTCATGTCGCCAAAGGATCCACAGTGAAACTGGAATGTTTTGCTCTGGGGAAGTAAGTCTGTGTACGGTACTTAGTGTCATTCAAGGCTGCCAAGTGCAGGTGCAAGAGATATTTTGTTGACAATCCGGCAGAAGAACTTTTTTTGAGCTTTTCAACATCTAAGAAATGTGAAGTCACAGGATGTGACAGACTCTCACTTCAGATGACTACTCTGTTGAAAGTCTAGTGTCGGGGCCGAATATTCAGAACTCCAGCTTTCTGTACCACAGTCTGAAACTTCTGTGTGACTCAAAGTAATATTTCAGTGTAAGGACTGGAAATGAATTATGCAGTTTTTTAAATGGTTCCTAGAAAAAGTCATTTTTATACCTGTTTGCATGGTATTGTGCGTACAGCTCTATGCAAAAATATTCAGGCTACATGTACATTTTTAAAAACCATGATCTAAGGAATGGCATGAGATTTTATAAAGATTTATGGTATATATTTGTGATTGTTTTGCATAATCACAAATAAGAATCTTACATTTTAACATCATGTCATATGACCCATTAAACCCATTAAAATAACAAGTAATTTACCTGTATATATGACTGTTTGTGTGACGGCTAAACTTTTGTTCCTTTCACAGCCCCGTGCCCTCGATAATCTGGAGGAGAGCCGACGGTTTGCCATTTCCCAGGAAAGTGGACATGAGGAAAGCCAGTGGCGTCCTGGAAATCCCATATTTCCAGCAGGAAGACACAGGCACGTACGAGTGCATGGCCGAGAACTCCAGGGGAATTAATACAGTCAAAGGAAAGCTCTCCTTCTACGGTAGGTGAACCTGGGTGCATACATATTTGACCCCACCTGTCAGGCTGTTTCACACAGACTGAGAGGCAGAAACACCAACCACATAAATGTGTCAATGGTGGTCAGCAAAAGTGTGTGTGGCACACAACAGGCTGGAAGTTTTTTACATTGTCATTAGTTAAGGCTGTCAACAATGAGGGATTACATGCTGGTCCAGATTTTTTTGGACAGACACTTTGGGGCCAGAAACCCAAATAAAATGAAATAAAAATCACATTTTTGTCAAACAATATTATTTGATTTTTATTGGGAATTGAATTGTGGGCCAAATTTGGCCTGCAAGCCACCATTTGATAACCACTGCTGCTCTACTGGACTACTGTCAATCACTGGTTGTGTTTTGCGCCTGCATTTTGTCTAAACATCAGGAAACTAAGCTGATTCTTATCAGATATTTTTCTTGTTGTTGTTGTGAAGCTACTTACTCCTTAAAAAAGCAAATACAATTTTTTGTGCATGCTTAATAACATGCCTTTTGGAGTTTTTTTGGAGTTTTTCACCCATTGGGCTCTGATAATACAGTAATATTGACAATCCTCTAAAAAAGTCATATCAATATCATATACAATTTATATATTTGTTCCTCCTAATTTCCTCCACACTCTTCTGTAGCTGTTATATATTCTCCCTGTACACATTTGTTTTCTGCATAAATAAACAGAAACTGAAACAAAATAAAAAATACAGATACTGTACGTAGTATTTACACCACCAGTGTCCTTTTCTGACACCAGGTGTATTTTAAGTTCATACGAAAAAGAAAAATTCCAGGCTGGTTATGTAGGAGCGATGTCTATGAAGAAAACGGAAGGGAAAAAAGTTACACTTCTGGAAAACAGTTCTAGGATTTTACAGCTATCTCAGAGGGTGTAGTACAGCATCAATAACACAGTTGACTAGAAACAAGTTTTTGGAAGCACAGCTTATGTACACAACAGATGTATACTTCCTGAAAGAAGTGATTTCAACAATTACAATGTGTTGAAATGACATGTCTAGAGGATGTTTTTTCTCACATTAGTAACCTATAGTCAGCCATTATGAGGTGTTTTGCTTCTGTTAAAATCTCAAAAGTCACACAGGTATTAGTCACACTAATACCCCGAGGTTGAGTCATCTTCAGATCTCAATAATACAACAGAGTATCAGGGATAATCAAATCTAAAATCAAAAGAATGAATTCATAAGTTTACAAGAATAAAGTCATAACATTACCAGAACAAAGACGTAGGTTTACGAGAATATGTAGAAGAAGTGGTACATTTACAAAAGAAGGTCATGCTTTTACAGGGTAAAAAATCTAAATTTGTAAAACTAAAGTCATAAATTTAGAAGATTAAATTATGTGTTTTGCGGAAGGCAAGAAAAACACAGCGTTACCCATTAGTGCGTCAGAATGGTGAATGTGGCACTGAAGATTTAATGTAAAAAAAATCAGTCCATTCAGTTCTACATTGGGAGGAAGTAAACACCAATACCAAACCAGATTGTCTCTGCTTTGAATGTCCCAAGGACTGAGGTGAAATTCCCACCGCTTTGCGAAAAGCTTTGCAGAGAAATGGTCTTTTGCCAGCTTGTTGAGGTTGATGCTGCTCGAGGCAGAGTGAATCTAAGCCTTGACAGGTTTGTTTCCATTTCCTATTCACACTTTTGTTTTCACACACCTGCAGCTGCATTATCTGCACTGATAGAGGAAATTCCCATCGTTCTCATCTTTTAGCTGCTTGACATCTGAACTGATGGTTTCCACGTGGAGCTTTTTTTCAGGCGTAAATGCTGCCTGTGTTCATTTTCTTCCTGTTGACTGAGATTTGATGCCTTTGAGATTTTTTTGGGGTTGGAGTGAAGGACCCTGACAATAACAAGAAAACAACAAAGCAGACCTGCTTTTAGAAGGTGCTGTATTCGGGTGGTGACATAAAAGAGCAGTTTCATTAAGAACCTGAGTTGATGACTCAGGATGACTCATGTCCTTGGTTTATAATATTCCATGTTGCCGCACACCCTACATATTAATGTATTAATCTGAAACTATGATGATATGAAACTCAATGCAACCTGAGCTGCTGTTACAATTTGAATGCAGTTCAAACCCAACATTTACTTTTTTATTTATTTTTTTTATTTTCATGTCAATAACAAATGTGATGTAACATTCTTCCTATTAGCTGCTAGGTGCATGAATCTCTTTTAATGTGGTTTTCTTCTAAACTAACTTTTGGTATCCGGTGAAGAAAAAAATGTACTTTGATACAATTGACCTGCTTCAGATCTGAGCTTCTGAGAACTTGTTCTCATAAATCTTTCAAAAACATCATTTATGGCATTTACACTGCAATTTCAGTTAATCAGGCGTTTTTAAAACGTTTCCGTGACGTATTTGCCTAAACTCACAACTGCCCAACAGCAGGATTTCTCTTATAAAACCTTTGCCTTTTATTCCCACATCTGATGCACAGGTAGTAGAGGGACGCCGTTACCGTTATTGGATTTCTTGCTCTACGCTCCTGCTTTCCTCAAAGGCAAACTACTGCATAGCATCGGCCAATTAAAGGAGGCTGTGTACTGTACTTAGAGGCTTCCACAAAGGTCAGACCTGGAGAGTGGCTTCAGCTGGAATGAAGAAATGAGGCCAGCACTTTCCTTTGCTCTGCCACTGGCTTTGTGTGAAATAGGAGGGCAGTAGAAAAACCTATTCCCAATATAAAACATAAAAAAGAGTGAGAAATGACCGTCATTTACTGTAGGCTTTCTGGTGGACATATATGTTTATAGTTAACTACTGCAAAAGTAACAATGATCCAGTCAAATGCAATGTCATTAACGATACCTATTGCATGCATTGTTTTAATCTGTTTAATTTCAAATTTAATTAATCAATGTTCATTTTAGCCAGTTATTTTGAAACTTTTTTTTTCTTTTTCTTGGCACAGCTGCTGCCGCTGCTGCTGCTACTGTGTACTTGTGTTTTGTGTTGTCATAACTGGCCACCCTGAACTGTGACACCATCGATCAAAGTTTTCAGTTACACAGTCCCATTGAAGTACCTGACACTGTAATGAAATGGTTTACCACTTGTTTTTCTGACAGATCCTTTGGTGTTTTTTCAAATCAAATCACTTTAGATTCCTCTCGACCTGATGGAGTACTTCAGAGTACTGTCTTAGACCAATGCTATTCTTGCTTTACATCCTCAGATAATCAGCCAACATCAGGGCCTCTCCTATTACTTCTATGCTGATGATATTCGATTGTGCTGCTCTTTAAGGCTACACACTGTCCTCATCTATTCCCCTACTGGTAATCATCAGAAACAGAAACCCTGGTTTTTGCCTTAGAAAGCAGCATTTCTAAAATCAAACAGCACCTTGATGAAAACGTAATGTTGTTATTGATTCTTTCTTTTTGTGGTGTATCACTTTAATGAGCTTATAAGGGGGTGTTTTCTTCAGTTGAGGAATATCTGAAAAGTTCTGCAGTCTGGATTAGAATCCAAGCTAGATATTTGATTATTTGAACATGGAGCAGCATTTTAAAATCTTTTAAAATAGAGAACGCCTAAATTTGTGCAAATTCACCATAGCTGCAAATGTGGTAATATCGATGTTAGTTATTGCTGATTTCTTTATTATTTCTGTAATTTCTTTGTATAACCAATTGTCAGATTCTCACGTATCCGATGGTACCTCAACTCACCTCGTTACGGTGTACGCCTTTTGACAAGGAATAGGCCGAAGAAGCACTGAAGAACTGTTTATTATTTCGTTTATTATTCATTAAACTGAATTCATTATATAGTGATGAAAATGTTTGTTAATATTTTTTCTTACACTAAACAAATTTAATAATTATTGAATAGTGAACAAAAGCAAGCCAGAAGCTAATGCTGCTGAGGGGCTGGCAAGGAAAAGTTTGGGAACCCTTGTGCTAAGACACATGGCAGTGAAGGGAGACAAACTAAACATCAATTATATTACACATTCGTGCCTGACACAGGCGGATACGTACTGGCAGTAGCATTAGCTGATTCATTAGTTTGAGTGAAACAGCAAAATTTGAAATATTTATTTGGACCATAAAGGATCTTCTTTGCTAATTCATTCTTTTCTTGCAGCTGAATCAATGTGTTTCATCTATCGTCTGACTCTCATTCTTCCCCTCCCCGTGTTTCCAGCCCCTCCTCAACTCATCGAAAAGCCCCAGGACGCTCAGAAGCTCATTGATGACTCACTGGTGTGGGAATGTAAAGCCACAGGGAAGCCAAAGCCTTCCTACAGGTGGATGAAAAATGGAGAGAACCTTGATTCTGCTGAGGTGAGACCTGACAGAGTAATAGGATGTCTTTACTTTATACTCATTGCCACTGCTACAGCTGCTGAATAACAAATGTGAACAAAAGGCCTTAATGCGCTGCTTGTTCAAAACAGCACTGACTAATTATCTTGCATTATCGTCTCCTTCATTACAACGCCAGGCCGCCTGCACCGCTATACGTCTTGTTCAGGCCTGCGCAACAGCAATTAATATTGGTAAGGAAGTAAACGGCTTCTGCTGTGCTGGACTAATGGACTGAACTCAGAGCAGGCAGAGAAAGAAGAGATGTGAGGGGTGGAGGGGGGGTACAAACCCACCCCGAGACAGTTGTTAAACTAAAACAATTAAAGTTGTTGGACGTGATCAGTCAAACTTTTATTCTTATAACAAGTAATTATGAAACATTAAACTACGACCGAAGGTTCTCTCTTCACTTCAACAACTTTCATAATAAACTGAAATGAGATGCTCAATGAAAACGCTTTGTAGCACAAAAATCCTGTATGTAGTAAGTTACTGTGAACGATGTGTAAATGTCAAATACTCTTTTATAATTTATTAATCGTATTAAGTATCAATACAGTAATTGATACTCGTGTGAGTACTGATATATATCCATACCACGGAATCAGTATTCCTGTCACTAATTAACGTTACTTGTCCAAATATCAGTTGTAAATGTAATTACTGCCTTAACATTAGCCAGCATCAGGCTGCTATTGTAGCATTTAAACACCTCAGCTAACACTGGAAAAAAACAACAACTATGTTGTCCAGTTTTTAGCTTTTGAACTGGACATAGTATTTGTACTTACTGTTAAATATAAACAGTATTTAATATTATATATTAACACAGTCGTAGAGTTTAGGTTCGAGATAGTGTTACTAAAAAAAGAGAGAGTTGCTTCGACCTTAGCTGATCTAATTAATCACAAATGTTCTAAAGACAGATTGATTAGTCGGTGTATTTTATCTGTCATTCTGATTAAAATATAATGAAAAGTGCAACGAACACACACAGGTTTCTTATGAGAGACAGCCCAGGGTGTTAACCAAGGGTTTTTTAAGCTGTCATGTCTGTGTTATAGAACGACTTTCAGCCCAAACAACCTGTCATTCTTAATCACTTCCTGTGGATGTTCACCTCAGCCAGTTCACATATAACTTTTGTACAGAGGAAATGGTTTATATAAATGGTTTATTCAGTTACTAAAACCTGTTTCGTCCCCCTGGTTGTTTTGATCTCACATCCCTTTTTTTTTCTTCTTACATCTACCCTTAACCAAAGCTCTCCTCTCCACTTCCCTTTATCACATCTGTTTAGTGTTTCAGATGCTTTTGCTCAGTAGTTTAGAAGAGATAGATTTGACACTCGAGCACAAATTCCTCGTGATAAATAAAAAGCTTTTTGTTATTTACTTCATTATGCAAAAGAGGGGGACAGAACACACTTAGGGTCATCGATCAGTACTTGAAGTACGTGTTGACAGAATGAGTGCAGTCTGCTGTTACATTAGTGGAGGCAAGGCCGCATAAAAAGGCTGATCACATAAAAAGAGGCTTAGCCGGGAATCATTGAAGAAAAATCTGCAATCTGTTTGGTCGGTGGTGAATATTTTTGATCGAAACTTTTTAAGAAGAAAGTGCTCCTCTGTGTTGGAGTTGACTATTTAAGTAGCACCTACAATGTTTTTGACTTAATAATTCTAATTAAAGGCACTCTTGGAAAAGAAAACAGCTGAAACATATAGAGTTCACTCCAACATTCAGTACATGTCATCTGGATCCACCGTATCTCAAACAGACAACTAAGGTTGTTTTGCCCTGAATTTGACTTTAGCATATACAGGTTTAATGTGAATGCTGGGGTTAAAGGTTAATCTGTGCAATGGGCTGTATTGTCTTAAATGTCATCATTAACCACAGCAGCATAATGGATGGAAGAGGGAAAGGTCATGGATGTGAAGAGCAGTGGAGGAGAAGATTAAATATTTTCTGTTATTTATTACAGGGAATCAAATGGAGATATCACTGATGACAGGAAACACGACAATAAAGCAGTCGGTATGACTAAAATGTTAGGGAAGAAGTAGAAGAAACATAAATACATCTGTGATTTTAACTGACCTATTAGCCAGTTAACAGATCTGACCAGATCTCCTTATAACCTTTACATCAGCTAAATAGGCTGAAGGTCAACACATCCATAACAAAATTACAAAGATAAAACCTTGCCGAGGACTAATCAATAATAATAAATAATAGTGGGCTCTCGGTTTACCACGTCACTGACCTACAGCTTTCGTGGTCACGTAGCCATCTACCATAATTATTTTTCCGAAAAACTTGTTTCATTATTCCTACATATGACAATAAAACTCTCTCAGTAGTTGGTGAGCTGAGTGCACGAATGCGTCGCCACACATGGAAGACGGCTTTGTTTCTATTCGTCTTTTGAACTTTTTGCCCTTCATTATGGCTCCAGGTGTATGTCATAATCTTCTGATGATTTCATGTTCTAGTTGGTTCCATGTGGTTAGCATGCCTACCTCGGAAGCAGAGAGCAAAGGGTCCTGGGTTTGATTCTCAGAGGTTGTAGCCAAAGGCTGTTATGGAGTACTCATACACCTATGCTGACAACTTGCATCACTATGTTTCATTATTACACACAGGCTACATGCTTTTGGAAAAAAAAGCATCTTTAATATATTCAAAAGAAGCTAGCAAACATGAGTATCGTCAATAATTGCACTTCCATTCATATTCATAGCACAGTTTCATTTCTATAAGAAATAGAGCATTGTTTTGGATTGATGTCCCTGTGATGCTATGTTATGATAAACAGTGTTTTCAGTTTTCTGTAGCGTCAGACCTTCAGTAATCAATACTTCTAGGAAACAGAGCGGCAGCAGCAGTCCAATCTGAGAAACTCAATTTTCCTAAGCCGTAAAAGTCATTCCCGTCGTCTATCCGGTGTTTAAATCGTTTCACGGTTTTACGTCAGCCTTACAAATCAGTGTTCTTGGTAGAAATGACAATGCCAGTCATTTTTTGTTCAGCATAAGGTGTACAGATGGTCCCCCCAGGTCCCTGCAAGAGAATCTGCTGATTTGAGTGGAATGTCACGCTTAATTAATAGCAGTCATAAACAGGAGTGCTTTCCTTGCACAGACAGGGAGGACAGGGGGATAGATATATCGTATGCCACCATTTGCCTCC